AAAAAAAAGGTCAACAGCACTCCGAACCCAATGTTCCTATGAGAGGGAAGTATCATACCATACGTGTCATAAGTTATTGTTGATCCTTCTTAAATTCTCATTTTAGTCAACAATAATTTCTCTCAACAGAAAGAAAATTAAATACATAATTTTTAAAATCACTGTTATAGTTTTAATATCGCCCTAGGGGGTCGCCAGAACTTTTTAACTTGTAAAGGGGTCGCGTTTTCAAAAAGGTTGAAAAACACTGCTCTATATCAATGTTTTTATTTGTTATTAATTTGAACACAACACTGTAATTAAGTCTATAGCTTAATCACGTCTTCTCATAAGAGAGTCAAGGAAGACTTGTGATATTAAGGGGCCCTACAGTGAAACCTCTACTTTGGCATCAAATTTGTTAAGGGTTAATTCTTCTGAATGAGCCTGATTATGTAATAGTTATCGACATTTTAGAATGTTTTAGAAATAAACGTGATATTTCAAGTTATTGGCTGTAAATTACAATAACAATTCAACTAAAAGAAATAAAATGAGAAAAATAAATATGAAACAATTTTGTTACTTCCCAGAAAAGATGAGTATTTTAATTCTACTGGTACACACACAATTGATCATGATAAATAGAAAATCCAATTTAGAGTTTAAAGATAAATGTAATCCGAATGAATAAATATATTTAAGGGTATGAGAAAGACATGAATATTCTGTTATTCAGTGAAGAAACGAGATTTTTCCATTATCATCGTGACTTTACTATTTATTATTATTACATTTTCATTTATTGCATTATTTCTTTTAATAACAAAGCACTAAATTATGTATAAACGAATAGAATTTTATATTTTATGGGGATAAACTAATAGTTGGGTTTTTCATAAACAATTATCTATTTTTCTATAGTCATTTTTTAAAATTGCTCTTAAATTACAATACTACAATACAATTTTACCACCTCAAATTTTTAAATCCAAGAAAATGGTTAATATAAATATAAATTATTTAAATAAATGAAATATAACAAGAACTAATTATAAAATATACAATACATTTTTTAAAATTATGAACGAATTGTAAAGTTTAATTCTCTTCGAAGAAATTAAAATTATATCTTATTCTTAAATGTCACTCTCTATATAGAAAATAACGACTACTTCATTTTCTTATACTTCTATTAAATAT